AAAAAAAAAAAAAAAACTACTGATACTAAATTAAATAAATTAAACATTGAACATTGTCTTACACAAAGCTTGTTAAGACTAAATTAATTATTAAAACATAAACTGAAACTGTGACATTGTAAACATAAATATAAATAATGAATAATATATATACTATATATAAATATAAATAATGTACATTGTTAACTTAAACCAAGCCTGTTAACTATATAAAATATAAATAATGTATACTATATATAATATACATTGTTAACTTAAACCAAGCCTGTTAACATAAATATAAATAATGTATAATATATATGTATACTATAACAAAAAAATAAAACGGGACAAACAGGACGGTTCGGGAAAAAAATTATAAAAATCGATACCGACAGTGTTTCAACCGGTTCGATACCGGGAACGGTACGAAAATTTTAAAAACCGATTGGATCCTTTTTTTTTCAGAACGGGACCATTTCGGTCCAGTTCCGGATCGGGAAATTCGATTTTTTTGCCCACCCCCAAGCAAAAACTTCTCTTTACATGCTCTATTTACATCAGAATTCAATTCCAGCAAAGCATACAAGTTGGATTTCCATCATATTTAGCAACCAATAAAAACTGTGTCGTTTCATTTTTCAGCAAATATCCTTTTGACTGGATTTTTTGTAGGAGAAAAACTAAATGCATTAAAGATTTTATTTGGTAAAACTAGCTAATAAGCTAGCTTATAGTTTATTAGTAATTTTTGCGCTTATAGCTTATACCTTATGACTTATAGTCGAAAAATTAGCTGATATGATAAAAATGTGATAAAATTAGTTGATAAGCTAGTTGAAATAAAATTTTCAACAAGATTATTTGAAAAACTATCCAAAAAAAACTTATAAAAAAAGTTCGTCCTGTCAAACGAAATTTATTTGAATACCGAGAACTTATAAATTAACCAAATAAGCTATAAACTAACTTATTTGCCTACCTAACATAACCTAATAGTGATACCTTCTGCGGTAAGATTTTTTGTTCCTTTTTGTTAGGACAGAAATAATCAATAAGGTTGTTGCTCCACCTAAAAGAATCATACTTATTCAGCAAAATATAAATTTTCACTGTCACACAAAGTACTACAACAACTTAACAAAATTATTAAAAAAAAAAAAAATGCCGTTTTATAATAAAATAAAATATTTATCAATAGATTGGTCAAACAAACTCGAGCTCAAGAGTCCATCACACAATAGTTTCTGAAAAAGGCACTGTGAACATGAGTAATTTATATATTAAAAAAAATAAAAAAACA